GGCAACTGAAGGAGAGTGTGTTTGGGGACAAGTTGCAGCAGTACAACACAGGAGGAGGTGCAGACACACTTTTTATAGCATAATTATTCCGGCTAACTGCAGCTATTCTTATGCAAGTGTTTATTTTTATCTTTCCCCACAGAAGTAACTCTGAGACCCGACATGTTCAGTGGAACCACCCCCACAGTGACCTTTCCCACCCTGTCTGAGGGCCGGAGTTCACCCGGGGTCAAGATCTATATCGACCCTTTCACCTACGAAGACCCTAATGAGGCAGTCCGGGAGTTTGCCAAAGAAATCGACCCCTCTTGTGTTAAAATAGAGGAAGTTATCGGATCAGGTAGGATTTTTTACAAACTTCTTGTCATTTCTTATGTATTGATTACTTTCCTCTCTCATAAATCATCCAACAAAAAGAAGAAAAATTAAAATCTAAAAGGATTTTAATGTTTTAAGTCCTGTTTAAAGAACTTTATTTGAAGATTAAAGAAAGAACTTTACTTTAATATATCAATTTAAATTCTGTATCATGTTGAATAAGCAAAGCCTAAAAAAAACATTAAAAAAGTTAACTTTGGTTAATTTTAAGAGATCAATAATGTTTTGAACCAGCTGCACTCGAGTCCAAATTAGTCAGCCTTTTTTAAAACTGTGCCACACTTCTGTGTCAATAGGAAAGATCTGGAAACACTCGACACCAATTTATATTTTTGCTGTTTTATTATTATCTTTTGGGTCTTTGAAGTCAGCATGTTTTATTCATGCCGAAAACTTTCACAGGAATAAATTAAAACTGTCTTCTTGAATTCTGCTTTGCTATCAGCACTCTCAGTGTAAAAACTGCAGTGTGGTGTTTTGTAAATGGAGAAATTTGTGGAGCAGAGATCACTGGTAGTTTACCTTTTGCCCACAATCTGCTCTCTGTTGTGCTAAAACACTGTTTCCTTATTAACTTTTTCTGTAAAATGCAAAGAAATAGGCATTCAGCTGATATCAATGTCCCATATCAATATTGATATTATGGCTGCTAACCGATATTTGCAATATTACACAAACACACCAGTAATTTACATATATATTTATATATGCACAAACACACTTGTGTCCTGATGCATCTCAGTAATCCAGGTAAAAAATCAAAAATAAAAAAATAGTATAGGTCCTCTGGATGGGTTCTTCTCTAATG